AATGGTGAAGGGATAGATCAAATAGGCCAATTGATGGATCATGGAAGGTTTGTGAAGAAATTTCATGCTCCCTTGTAAAAGTATTTTTTAGTATTTTTAAAATACAAAAATACAGTAGTTTATTTTGATACATGGTGTGGCTGCTGTATTTTGTAGTTTATTTTGATACACTTAAAATGAAGGTATTTGGTATTTTATTTTAAAATACATTTTGATGTATCTTTGCCCAACCCTGCGAACATGATCCCCATGTCACACTGTAGGATCTCAGTTGTCATAATGTCAGACTGTATGACAGTCAAGACGTGACAAAAACGGACGTACACAAGAAGACTTGTCCGGAGTTTTACGTTATCAATCCGTGACCCGCGTTCTCTCTCTATAATGGTAGCTAGCAAACAAAAGCAATATGTAGCATTAGTTTTTTTAATTACATGCCTTGATAATAAAAAACGAAAAAAATGAAGACGACGTATATGGAGCAAGTCATGGCTGGGCAAAAGAGGACTTTATGGACTTCCAGTTCTACAGAGCGAACTTGAGGTAATTTTGTTATTCGAGTTTAAACATCCGGGGCAGGATAATAAATAAACTCAATAAGTTTTTCTTCTTGTTGTACTGTCCACCTGACTCGTTTCGACATTTTCACTGAGGTGGTTTGAAGTTGTTGCGTTAATTGCATTATCAGGTTCAGCGCTCCTATTGGTTCTTGGTTTGACGGTCGTCGTAGGAGATGTCACATTGCAGGAAAGTGTCTGAAATCTTCTGACACTGCCAGAATTTAATCAAAGGAAAAAATGTATCGCAACGGCCGTTAATCGGCTGTCGGTGAACATGTCAAACCAGCGATCAAAGACAACAGATTTTAGCCTAGGATTATAGAAATCTTTTAGGATTTCCAAAATTTGTCTCAGACAACCAAATCGTGGCCAAAATCGCACAGTGTGAGCCGGGCTTAAGATTCAGTCTCTCTAAACCCCTCCTTTCCGTGAGCCTACTCTGCTCTGATTGGTCAGATGGCCCAGTCATTTGTTATTGGTCTACCGCATACAGTGCGTGTCAGAAACGAAACGGCCATTGTCATAACTGAATGACAGCTCCAGAGAGAATGTATAGAGAGAAAAGATGGTATCGATTTTACCTTCGAGCCAAAAATTTTAAAAAAAATTTAAAATTTAAAAAAATTTAAAATTCGAGCCAGAGACCGATGATGAAACGTCTAGTTGATCAACCACAAGCACAACTGGAGCAGGATGTTTCTCAGTGGTAAGTGTCAACTTAGATTGCCGTAGTTTATTTAGGTGCACTTGTGGGAACTGTATCAGAATGCCAAGCGAAGGTGAAAACCTCTGCTGCGATGAAGTACAACAGGTATTAGTGTTATACGTTTCTGCATTTGTTGAGCATTAGACGCCTGTTTTATGAAGAATTAAGTGTATTTTGAACGATCAATAGAAAATATAAACATTTATTATCTATCATACTTACACACGTTGTGATTCAGTGGAGCAATCTGGTCCAAATAAACGGGCACAGAATTGATCCATCTTTCAAGAGCAAGTGTTTTGTAAATCCTTGAACACCCCAAGATTAGAGAAGCAGTCGTCAGTAAAATGACGGGAACACGAAAAAGATTGTACTGCTGTGGTTGTTTTCTTTGCAGCCTCATCATTCGGAAGTGAAAATAAAACAAATTTACTTTCACATTGTTGGACACACTGTCTTCTCAACATGATGTTATAGCACACAGAAATGCTACACTATTTCAGGGCGGGTCAAGTTGTTTGCGCCGACAACATAGAACATAGGCAGGCATTATGCAAATGTATTACCCAGTGACGTGTAGCCATCACAAAAGTGGGATTCAAATTTCCTGACGACTCCTTTAGGTGATATGAATAGATTCTATTTTTTTAAAGAGACAATAACTTTATTTACCGTGCACTGTCAGCTTCACAACTTTGCAGATAGTTTACATTCACAGACAGCTACATTACACACTGCGTGAAAGGCAATATTCGAAATGGCACAATAGGGGCACTTTAAAACTAATTCGGCTTGCCATACGCTCCGCCTGTGTTTGAACGCGACTTGCGCCTCAGTTTCATATTCCTGGAGCATCTGCATCTGAGTTGACGCTGATTGGCGAAACGAAACTTACACTCAATCTAGACCTCAACCTAGACGCAAACCAACAAGACCTGAATATATTTGATAACAGTCCGTTAGCATGAATATTCGGAGGACAAGAAGCAAATGAATTGTTGTTTTCATGATTATATGTCCATTCTCCTCAACGTTTATATTGATAAACCTCTTTGATTCCTAAAAGAATGAAACACAAATTTCCTCAGAATATCACCTAGTCTACTGTGTTGCTATTAAAAACGTTTCTTACCAGTTACTTACCAGTTGTCCATCTCGCATTTGTGTCGGCTTCTGTTCCTGCCAGATATGTTGAATGAGTGTAGCAGCCCAGGAGCGCATATATAGCCTAGTCTCTCTCCATTTCCTAAAAACGAAACTTACCATTATTAGAGGTCTGTCGAAACAGTTATTAATGGGTTTCAGTCACGTGGCTTTTTTGTTGCGGCCGCCATCTTTAGGACCTTGCGTAGCCTGTCCTTGGTAACGTTAATCGGAAACCAAAACAACACTTCACCAACAACGGAAAACAATGGTATTAAAAAAAAATTAAATAAATAAAATAGATACTTTAGGATTAGATCCTTATTTACTGTCAAGCGAACTGCTGACTCCACTAAAGTCTAGTGAAAACTTACCAACTTGACGTTTGCTGATAGGCTGTTTACATCTACCTCATACACAATCCCTCTCCGTACACTCGGGCCATTTTCAGTTAAATTTTCACCTGCTAGAGACTTGTCCATCGGCCCGGATCCATCTGCAGCACCCGGCCTGGATGCTTGCGTGCTCACTTTCAGATTCTGGGCCGAATCAACCGGACCAGATGCGGCAGCCGTAAATTGCCGACGTAGTCAGTTACATGTGTTTTGGCAGTGGTGAGCACCTGTACATAAATCTGCTTAAATTTAGCAACTGTAAAAGCAGGACACAGCTACTACAAATGATCTCAGACATATTGATGCATATACATTTGATTGCAGTACATTGTCATTGTAAAAATCACTGCAACTAGCTTATATAGGCTTTTTAGTTAACAGACTATTTGAAAATAACGTTCTTCTATATAATTATAAAACTAATAGTACAAACAAATCCTCTTCACTCTAACATCCTTGAAGTAATTACATTGTTACATTCATAAAAATAAGAATGTGGAAACTAAAACTACAAACCTTTCTCCTTGTATGCGCTGAACCGTCATCATCCTCCTCTTCTTCATCTGTTTGTTTGCGGATTTCCACATCTCTTGGTAAATAATCCATTGTGATTTGCTGTTATCACAGCCCAGAGCACAGCAGATTGGCGGAATTGCAATTCGGTCCCACAAATGGCGGCCGCACCACTGTGTGACGTCACATGAAACCTATGAATAGGCTAGTATTTAATCTGAATAGCAACATTTGTGAGATATAATCAGTCAAAACGGTTTTGAGACTATATCTGATCTAATTTCGTGTCTCTTGAAAAATATAGTGTTGTGACATTGTATTAAAGTTTAACTAAAGAAGGATTTGATTTTAGATTTGTGTGGAGTTTTTATTTTGAAGTGAAAAATGTAGATCCTTGGCGTAAGAATTGGCACAGAATGTTTTTATTTTTGTAACCTAATACTTGTAAGGCTTTGTCAAGCCAACATAGCCTAATGAAACAAACTATTATTTAAGATTCCTCTTCTTCTTCTTCTTCTTCTTCTTCTTCTTATTATTATTATTATTATTATTATTATTATTATTATTAATATTATATTACATATAATATAATATATTGCATGCATGCAGGGCTGGGCTGGGATTAAAATTCGGCCCTGGACAAATCCAGCCCATTTGGCCCACAAATTCCCTGAGAATGTTTTGCTGGGTTAGGGCCTTCAATTGAAGTATAATAAATGAATAGCCTAAATAAAACAGGACAGACACAGATAATACCGGTAATAGATATTACTGAATTCAAATGTAACAAAGTTATTAATTATGCATTTTTGTCACATAGAAATGTACTGGACAGTAAAGCATTAATTTTGAGCTAGAATGCAGAAAATTTAATGTTATTACATTTTGTCATCATTTCCTCACCCTCATGTTGTTCTAAACCTGTGTGACTTACTTTCTTCTGTGGAACACAAAAGGAGATATTTTGTAGAATGTAACCAAACCATTTTATGGACAAAAATTTCTTGAATTTCTCAAATTATCTTATTTTATGTTCCACAGAAGAAATAAATTCATACAGGTTTGGAATGACATGATGTTGAGTAAATAATGACAATTTAAATTTTTGGGTGAACTATCCCTTTAAGAACTTCAATAGGCTATTTGTAAATAGTAAACACCTATTTTATATAAGACACTGATTTTTATCTTAAACGAGGCTCTTATTGAATCAACATTTTACTTAAATTAAAATAATTAATTAGAACTAAACATTTAAAGAGGAAGAAGCTACTAAACCTATTCTGTTAAATAGTTGCGCCCCCCTAAGGACGGCCCTGGTGCCCATAATTCGGCTCATTGTTTCAAGATAAACAATTTAATTTGTTTAATCACATCGATGTTCAAAAATAAAGGGATGCAAATTTAATTTTTTTAAATAAGTCTAAACTAAATAATAATTTAAAAATAAATAAGAATAAAAACTAAACTTAAATCCCCATAATTCCCTTGCTGTTTGTATTTATGATAAGAGCTGAATCATGGAATCAACAAATTGAACTGGGACATATGAAAATTAAAATAAACGGCTATATTAAAAAAAAAACGTTTCAACGTTTTTGAAACGGTTCTTTGAGACGAACTGTTTGAAAGAACCGATCCGTAGTAGTTCCCGATTAGAAGTTCACATACAGAAAATCTCGCGATATATCAGATTACATACCACCACATTTAACCACATTACAGTGTGCGATAGAGACAGGTAAGATGGCGGCGCAGGAGACTCAAGCAACACAGCAGTCGTCCGTAACCAACGGAGAGGTAAGAATTGCCGAAATTATAAAGTGTAACCGTCAAATGGACGTGTCAACGAACAGCTTTAATATAGTCCACACGTTCACGAAAGCAAATACTTGTTTCGTGTCAGTTTTAAAGAAGAAAACCAGAATGCCGGTCTGAATCAGCGACCCCTTTAATTCAGCATGCATTGGGGCAGAAATGCTGCCTGAGTCACGAAGGGTCTGTCCGATTGTATGGCTAATTTTTACCGGCATATCTCATTTTTACAAAACAGAACAGATCTCAGTTTATACCACTGATCTACAATAGAGAACATATATATATAGAGCAGTGGTTTATAGCATTAATCTATTTCACAGGCTGTATTTCAAAGCCTAGTTAATTGCTGCTTCCCTTGACAGCATTTTTGGGCATCATCATATTTGAACGCGCGTTTGATGCCCTTTAACGCTGGTAGACCGCTGACGAGGCTTTGAGAAACAGCATATATTATAGACGGCTGTTCAGATATTGATCTATGTAGTGTTATGAGCTGATGTCTATGAGTTGATCAGTGTTAGCATGCTGGCTAACTAGCTGCCTAGCTCCTCTGTTAGCTTCACATGTCAAAGCAGTTTAAAGATGGCAGTATTGTGCCACCCTGGTCATTAATCCGCCAGTTAGACTTTATTGTGACAAAATAGCACGTGTCTTGGTGTAGATAGAGGAACTGTAGTGGTGGTGAGAAGTTTTGTAATAATTATAGCATGTTGTGTGCAGTCAGCTACTTGGGTAATTAATTGGTCAGGGGTGATCAGTCCTATTACTGGAGATTTGCTTTCATATAGAGATTTATTGCAGCCATGTTCCTATTGTTATTTTCTAGTGAACATGCTGACTTTGGTTATTTATTTTTGGTGGAGTTAGACCTAAACTCTGAGGATAGCCGATCAAGAGTGAGAACTTACTATTGGCCTGCTACTGGATTAAGTAGCTTGATTTATCTGGATGAATAACCCTGGGGTTACTGATTACACCGGTTAAAGGTCATAGGTGGTATCATTCATAAACATTACTCAGGTTCACTAACCTTTTTCCAAAACCGATGTGGGCTGCCAAATGTAAACAAGTGGATAACAGTTTCTCAGCATTTCTCTTGAAATCTCAAGCTTGTTAATTTTACGGGAAACACAGAAATCTGGTCTGATGTCCTTTATCTGTGATTTTTTGTTTAATTCATCATTTTGCACCCATGCTCTAGGTGGGATCTTCTGTTAATAGTAAGGGGTGTAATTAGTTCTGTTGACACAAATTACCATGATAACAAAGCATCAGGTTCTTCACGTTTTCCAGAAAGGCCTTTCCATCATCTGGGATTGGGTCGACCTCAACCACATCATCAGAAAACTACAATGGATTTTTGTTTTGGGTGCATATGGTAAACAATAGAGGTCTCAGGACAGAGCCCTGGGGCACCTCGTATTCAGAATGAGGATTGGCAATGATTGGCTGCCCACATTCACTGCTTGAGGTTTGAACAGTAAGTTCAAGACCCACTAATAGCGAGTTTTGGGAAAATATACTCTACACCAGTGCTTAAACACAGACAGTGATAGCAACCAAAGGTCGATTACGCATGTTGTTGCCTTCGTACTAGGACTGCACAATTAATCGAATTTTGCAATTACAAATACAGATGCCACAATTACAAAAACAGCATTTAATCGTTCAAAGTCCACTTATCTTATTCTGCATGCTTAAGATGTGTTTTTTTTT